CAGCGCTTTCTCCCTCCGCTGACTTCTGACCTCTGTAGTGGCCATGAACAGGGACAAGGACTGCCTGAGCCCTCCCCCCCAGAGCCAGTCAGAGCCAGGGGAAACAGACCAACGTTCCACACTGCCTAGACAGCCAGCCGGATTGGGGAGCCAGCACCACCAGACCTGCCTCCTTCAGCGCCCTCCCAGTTCCTAACTTAATTTATTTTGACATCCTGGCTGCCTTTTGACCTCCTTAGGGAGTCACGTGGTGTTTAAAACTCATTATCCTCCATTGAAACAGGAAGTTAATTAAGCCCTTCACAGAGCTGGCGCTGACAAATGTCGGGATGGGCCCTTAGCACGGCTGCCTGGTGTCTCCAGGGCCCAGGATGACTGGCAGTAGAGGAAGAGAGGCCTGACCCAGGTAAGGGATAGGGGAAAGGTCTAGGCCTCTCCCCCAAAGCAGCATTCTCAGTATCCATTCTAAGGCAGAGTATGGGCATTTTCCAGGAGGAATCCAGCTCTGCCCTTACCTGCTGTGTGACTCAGGCAAGTGACTTCACCTTGCTGAGCCTCCATTTACCCACTTGGCAAATGGTAATTCTATCAGTTCCTCCTTCAGAAAGCTGCTATGATCGATACAAGGACAAGGCAGTGCTCAGCATGGGATGCTCACCATGGAGGCTGGTACCATGATACCCCCTCCTTGCCACTGCTAGTGAGAGATGACTAAGTGCCTACTGCTGAAGAGCTACCTGCAGCTGCCCTACAAGCTGGAACAGAGACGACAGGGATTCCCTCTGGAAAGGTGAGCAGGATGGACCAGGCAACGGAAGGGAAGGGTATGCATAGCACCCAGACAACTAATGCAAAGGCCCTGTAGCCACAGGACTTTGGGACCCACATTAGGACCTTTAGTAGTTAAGGCAGGGAAAAAAAAAACCAGGGTCTCACTCAAGGCAATAGTGGAACTCATGACAATCCTCCTGCCTTGGCCTCCCTAGTAATGAGATTAGAGACATGTACCACCACACTCAGCTAAGACAATGTTTGTGTAGTTGACATCATGACTCCCATTGGCTTCAGCCTCTAATGGGGATGTGAGTGAGTGTTGGACCGGCTGGAGCTGGAGACAGTGGTCAGGATGATAGTCAAGGGGGTCTAGAGGAGATGGGAAGAAAGCCAAGTCCTAGAGCATCTGAGCCACCAGAAGATGAAGAAGCCACAGAGACTGGATGACTGCAGTAGCAAGTGGGGTTTGGGAAGGACTGAGAAACCAGTGCAAACTGTCATCTTGCAGCCCGACCTCTGGCCCAAGACCTTATTCCCCACACCCATTTTGGCCTCATATAGTCAGCCGGATGCTCATGCCTCCCAGCTTCTGTGTCAGTGACCCTCCCATTATTCTATTCTGAGCATCCTCTTTTTCCTTCGAGGTCTAGCATAAGTTTCTAAAACGTGCTCTGAGTCTCTTGGTTATAGTCCAAGAGCCAGTGCAGGGGTGAATCAGCACAGAATATGCCCACCAGTCAAAGGAGCCAGCCATAAGGTAGAGGACTGTGGCCAGACAAGACCTAAACCTAGACCCCCAGGGTTGGGGGCTGGAGACTGAGGTCTGAGGAGCCCTAGGCAATTGTGACCACTTCCAGCACCAGGAGGAGACCAGCGTCCTTCCCAGGGTCCAACCCTTCAAAACAACAGAAGAGGATGCAAAGGCAATTGGACCTGTGTCCAGGTTACTTCCTGAGGCAACATCCCAGCTCTCTGTCTCTTGAGCTGGGTTCTTAGAAAGGATGTGGGCCTGTCCAAGCCTCAGTTTCTGCAACCATGACATCTCTGGGCCATCACCAAAACAGCGGCATTATATGTCCTAGAACCACCCTGCTGCTTTCTGCCTGGAAGATGCCTCCTCCATGGCATAACCCTTTGAGACCTACCTACACAGGGTCCCAGGAGAAAACCCAAGCCAACTCTGAAGGGGTTCAGAGAATGCTGACAGTAACAAAACCTTCACCCTGTTCTGTGTGCCCACAGTGGGTGCTGGCACCCTTGGCATCTCTCAGCAAAGCTTTTGGGGACCTACTACTAAGCCTTGGGTCCCTGGGAGAGCAGGCGTCCCTACAACCACAGGAGGATTTCCTTGCTCAGAACTGAGTCGCCCTGCTCTCCACACGGAGGTGACCACAAGGTCCTTGGATGAAGCAATCCTGTTTCCCTGCTGACTCTGGCTGTGAACTTGCCACTCCCAGTGGACACTCAGAGCAGGGGAAATTGGGGCCCACAGTGGGCGCCTGGGGAAGTTAGAGGGGAAGAAGGCACTCAGGAAGCTGCAAGCTTAGGCAGGACTTTCTACTAGGCACAGAACCTTGGAGACACACAGCCCCTGATGGGAAGCTGTTATGGTTCAGCATTCTGCTATCACCATGCTGGGACTCTTCATTTTAAACACGAGTCCCGTATTTTCATTTTGCTTTTGGTCCCGCAAATGATGCAGCTTGTCCTGGTCGACAGGCTCTGTGTTGCTGAGTGTTGTCCTTCTCTCCCAGCCTGGACTCTGTATACATAGCATCATACAAATAAATCACATCAGGCAAAGAAGGGCCCAAAGAGATGTCATCTAACTCTCCTGCATCCCAGGCAGACATTACTAATCGAAAACCACAGTTTTCTCTCACGACTCTCAGATTCCAACTCAACACAGATCTCGTCCAGCAGCTCTAGCCTAGGTGCAACTTACTGAGCGCCCAGCTTCTCACCACATCCCTACATGCCAGCCCCTAGCCACCTCCCAGGACTCCCAGCTCCTGAGCCCCTTCCTGTAAAGCACCCTTCCCTTGAGAAGAGGCAGTACCCAAGGAAACCGACAAGAGGTAAGCCTTGTCCAGTGCTGAAACATCTTGGGGTCCCTAGACTGAGGAGACCCAGCAGATGCGGGGTTCCAGCTGTAGAAGGACAGCTCCTTTTGGGAAGAGGCGGGAAGCTGGGCAACTCTGTGCAGCTCTTGGGTCCTAGCCTTGGTGTTCCTGAATGACCAGCGGAGAGGGGGCAGCATCCTGTCCCACTGGACAGTCCTAAGAGGTCGACACCCCTCTCCTCCTCTTTGCAAGGGCCCCAGTAACAGAAACTGGAAAGAAACAGGTCTCACACCTAGAACACCTGATACCTGGCATCTGGCAAACTTCCAGGGGACATGAATGGTGACAGTTGTACCAGCTGAAGACTGTCTACTAGGCGAGGGCCAGATGTGTTCTCTGTGGAGACCTTTCTGTTTCCCTGCGTGCTATGAAGAGGCACAGCAGACATCAATGACAGCCATTTGAACTTTCCATTTGGATGAGGACATGACTCCCATCTCCAGCTGTGTGATCCTGAGCATGTCTCGCCTCTCAGTGCCCTCAAAGAACACGAGGTACATTCTTGACTGTGTGGGCACTGTAAACCTGCCTGCTTGGGGCTGGATGAACAGGGAAGGCTGGGGGACTGGGGACAACATCTCCTTGGCAGATGTCCACTGTGGCCTCGGCTGTAGTTAAGCAAGAAGGCCAATGGACCCCTGGCTCCTCGCAGATTTCCAGACAGGTCTGAGTTCAAGAGGGAAAAACCTGAGATTCCCCAGCCCATTAGGCCTAAGACAGAACCACTTAGAGGCCACAACCATCAGAAGCTGCAGAACACAGGGTTGCCGCTTCCAGGAGTCTCATACTGAAGCCTCCTTCCAGACCAGAACCTCTGTCACATGCCAAGTCCTGAACAACACAAATTCTGTGTCCAGGCCTCGGTCATTCGGACCCCACTGCTGACTGCCTGGAACGCAGAGACGCAAGGGACAACATAACTTAGGCCATGGGGGCGGGGCTCCAGAGCGGAGGGGCGGGGCCAGACAAGCCAGGGGACTGTGTTGCCGGGCTGCAGGGCTGCAGTTCAGAACAGGTCTCCAAGTCCTAACCAGGCCTGCGGACATAGCCTCAGGAAACTGGAACTAGCGAAGGGGGCTAGAGGTCTACCAAGAACCGAGGGTGGGAATTCTGGACAGGGCCAGCGCGGCCTGGGGCCAGCCCGCAGGAGGTGAGGACAGGGCTGAGGACTGGGCAGACGTGGGTAAGGCTGGAGTGGGGGGCGGGGAAGGGCCGGGCTTGAGCAAAAGACTACAGGGCAGGGGCGGGGCTAAGGAGAAGGGCGGGCCTGCGGAGGCGGGGCGAGGCCGAGGAAGGACGAGACATGGGCGGAGCTAGCACCGGGAAGGACGGGCTGGGGGCAGGGCCAGCACTGGGTGGTGGGGAATACAGGGGCGGGGCCTGTGAGAGGGACGAGCAAAGGGGCGGGGTCAGGTCGTGGACAGCGGTGGCTGTGTTCTTGTGAGGAGGACGAGCTGAGGGGCGGGGTCAATGTGAAGAGATCAGAATGAGGGACAGGGTCAATCTGAGGAGGACGGCCTAAGGAGCGGGGTCAATATGAGCCGAACAGCTGAGGGGCTAGAGCATGATGAGGACAGGATCAGAGGCAGGGTCAATGTGAGGAGGACGGCGGATGGGCGGGGTCAGTGCGATCCAGCGGCGGAGGGACAGGGTAAATGTGAGGAGGATGGGCTGGGGGCGGGGTCAATGTGAGGAGGTCGGGCTGAGGGGGTGGGATCAATGAAGAACTGGCTGAGGGGCGGGGTCAGCGCGAGGAAAGACAACCAGGCAGAGGCTGGGTGAGTACGCGGAAGCCGAGGCAAGCAGAAAAGCCATGAGCAATAGTTTGGGGCGGGGCCAGCGGGAAGGACGGTCTGGGGGCGGGGCCAGCGGGAGCGGGAAGGCGTGACCGCGGAGGATGGTCCGGGGCGTGGCGAGAGGCGGGGCGGCCGCCAGCTACGCGGAGGCCCCGCCCGCCGGGCCAGCCTGCCGGGAGCGCCCTGGCGGCGGCCGCGGGATCGCCGCTCGCGGCTCGCAGGTTCCATTGAGAAAAGCCGAACGGCGGCGGCGTCTGCGCCGGAGCAGGGAAGCCGCCACCAGCCCGCCGCCCGCCGGGCAGTCCGCGCGCCCGAGCGCAGGGCCGTGGCCTCGGGCCTCCGCGGCGGCGCCGGCGGCCCACGCGCGGCGCGGCGGGCTGGGGGCGCGGGCCGAGGCAGCCGTGGAGCCCACGGGCCGGGGGCATGAGCCGCCCCGCCGCGCCCCTGCCGCCCGCCGCCGCCCGTCAGGGGCTAGAGGCGGCCGCCGCGAGGGCGCGCGGCGCCGGAGACATGTCCAGGAGGAAACAGAGCAATCCCCGGCAGATCAAGCGTGAGTCAAACTTTGCCCGCGGTGCCCGCCGGACCCCTGCTCGCGCCTAGCCTCCCTGCGCCGCCCCTGTGCGGCCGCCCAGCCCCGCTGCGCCCGCGACCTTCACCCCGCGCCGCGCCCCCCGCGCGGAGTGCCAAGCGCGCCGTAATCTAATCTCTGCGGGCGGGCAGGGCCCCCGCGTCTCGTCATGGGCACCCAGGGGGTCCGGGCCCCGAGAGGGTGGCGGGTCCCGAGAGCCGGAAGGAGAGTGGCTGGGGGCGCGGCTCCGGCAGAGCCCGGCCACCTCGCGGCCTGCACCTCCCCCGCATCTCAGAGATGGTGCGGCGATAGGGCGGCCCTGATCTGGGCTCAGATAAAGTTTAAAATATTCCATTCTGCAAGTCCCATCCTGATAAGATCGCTCTGTCGGGACGGGCTGAAATTGTGATCTTATCTGGCGCGCTTGACTCTCCCAGGCTTTGTATCTAGAGGCAGAAGGAGAAAGACCTGGGAATAAGGGGTACCTAGGGCCGCGGGGCGGGCCGGCGCCCACCGCAGCGCTGTGACCGCAGAGCGGCGTGGCTGCGGGGAGTGAGGTAGTGGAGGCTGCTGCAGCCCAGGCGCTCGGCACTGACTGACCAAACCCCCTTTATCCGCCCCCCAACTCTGGAGTTTTCGATCTGACCTCTGCCTGCTTGGGGACATATGGAGGTCTGACCCACCAACTGCCCCGAACAACACCACGCGGGCAAATAGTGCCCTTGTGTGCCCATGGGCACCCTTCCTTCCACCCCCGCATCCGAGGGGCTTTTCTGAACCAGCCAGGGACCTCAGGGACTCGAGCGTCGTTCCTGCGTGCGTCCAAGTTTCTCGCAGGTCCTCCGTGGGCACTTTCCCGAGTAGGGCAGGCCCTGTACTCCTACATCATCACCCATGCCCCCACAATAGGAGCTTCTTGTGCTCTCTGGGCCACTAGGTTGCGGGGCCACTTGGCTGCACTAGGAACGAGTAAGCACACAGGAAGAGCTCCTCCCCACGCCACACCAATAATAACTTCGCGCTTCTCCCGACAGGGCGCGGGGCTTCCTCCCTGGAGCTTCCCCCTGGCGGGAGAAACAAGTCATTTGGGCTGCCCACGAGGTGACAAGGGAGGGGGGCATCCGGCTTCCCAGTTCCAGACGCCTGGCTGCCTCCTCTGCCCACATGACGCTGCCACCAGGACCCAATGTGCATTCCAGCCTGTGAGGGTGTCCCTACCACTGAGGTCTCGGGAGAGGGGGACGGAGGCAGGAATCTGGGTTCTGGTAACCCGACTCCCCAAATTCGAGCCGGACCTGTTTTCCGAAAGTCTCCTTCTATCATGTCAACTGAAGTATTAAAGCCACCCACAGGTCCCGATCTGTGCTGGTTCTCTGGTTTCTTTTTCCCCTCCTCCCCTGTGCGCCTCTGCCGGGTTCTGTTCTCGCGTGTATGTGTGTGTGCGTGAGCGTGTGTGTGTTTCAGCCTGATGAGAAATGCAGATAGCTAGGGCAGGGAGATCTCAGGTTGGGAACGGATCGCCAGCGCTGATAAGGCCGCGGGAGCCCAGCAGAGCCCAACCCACTTGGGTCAGCGAAACCCCGCACTCTGAGAACCGGGACCGGGACTGTGCAGGAGAGCCCCTCCGACCCCCTCACAGTACCCCATGACTGGAGCAGAGGAGGAGAGCAAGCCTGGGGGAGGGCGGGGCCCGGAGCTCTCTCTCTCTGTGCAACTCGTGGCCTGGGCTCCTCCTCCCCTAGCAGATCTAAACGCGTTAAGATGCGAACGTTGATTGTCACCAAGCGGCGGCGCCTGCCCGCCCGCTCTCTGCCCAAGGCCGTGCGTGAGGCCCTCGCAGCTGCGCGCCGGCTGCGCTGGCCTCACCTGTGGCGGGTCTCAGGGTGCGGAGGGGAAGCAGGCTGAGCTCTGGGGGCCGCCGCCCTCCACGCCCCCACCAAAGCAGGGTTGCAGCTGCCCGCGCCTCCGTGCGCCTTTTGTTCTGCGCAAAGATAGATGTGCCGCGCTGATAAGGCTTGCAACCGATGGCAGCCGCGATAGCGCTTCCATTTATTAACTTCAAACGTGGGAGAGGGGGGAGGGCGAGGCAGGAGCGCGGCCCTAGCCGGCCAGATGGCTGACATGATAGGCCGGGCCCCTGGAGGGGGCGAGGGGCAGGGTGTAGCTCGGGACCCTTGGTGCCCCGGCCCGCCAGCTCTCCTCCTGCCCAGTCGATGTGAGCTCTGATAAGGGGGGGCCTAAGCGCGGGCCAGTCCGCCCAATGGCGATTGCCAAGAGTGATAAGACGCCTTATCTGCGGCCACCAGGCCCCGCCGGGTTCGAGGCAACAGCAGTGTGGGGGCGTCCGGCGGCAGCAGGGGGCCTGGGCAGCAAAAGAGGGAACAACGGGGGGCGTCCATCTGGGACACTTTCCCAAACACTCTTAATCGGCAAGAAGTTGATCTTCCCCCTGCGGCCAGTGGTACAGTCCATCAAAATGAAAGAAAACTGACTTCGTGCTGCCTGCGGGGAGGGGAGAGAGAGAAAGGACACTCCTCCCCTCATTCCAATTAGGTTGCACTCAGAGGCCAGGGGCGGTTTGTCACCTGCGAAGGGTGGTTTCCCCTGAATCATGCTGGGTTGCTCTTGGTTCCTGGCAAGTCTTAGGTGTGACTCCCGTGGAGTTTATTGAAGAAAAACTCGAGGTGGTTTCCACTGACCTGACTGCTTTTGGGAAGCCCAGCAGGTACACATCCGGAGAGCTCTGTATAGATCTGCCTGAGCAGACAAGCGTTTATTGAGAGTTCGTTGGGTGCTGTGTGCAGTGGAGTGTTTTTTGTTCTCCTGTTGTATGCAGTTCTGTGTTATTGAGTACCTGCTGTATGCAAGCACTGACTCAGCTCTATCCACGGTATGAGGAAGGGAGAGAAGTGGGGAGGCACAAGCAGGCGAGAAGTCTGGGGTCAGGGTCGCTTCTCAGTAGCCGCCCTCTAAAGTGCCAAGAATAGGCCAGGCATGGTTGCACTTCAATGAATAGTAACCTGGCCTCAGTTTTCTGCTTTGGAAGACTGGGCTCTTTGGGGATGTGAAGAGCTGAAAGGCAAGATGCCAGTAAGTGAGAATGAAGTCAGGAAGGTACTGACATGTAGGGCTGGCCTCAGTTTCCCTCTTTGAAAAATAGGGCTGAGATAAGCACTCAGGGCTACAGGGAGTCCCCAGGTCAGGCAGGAGTCAGTGATCCCAGATGCTTAAAGACCTAGGTCACTGGGCACAGGCTTGGAGGAGGAGTCCCGCCTGGTGCAGCAGCCCTCTGTCTCTGAGGAGGTGTTTTCACACATTCTTACAGTTCAGTTAAGCAAATTATTGGTAGCCACAGGATGACTAATTTGCTCCAAGCTCAGAAGCCATCTGCCAACTCCTTCTAACACCTAACACCCACCCACAGGGCCAGTGGTGCTGACAGCAGGAGACAGCCCCATTCCCAGGAGAGACAGAGTGAAGACCCAGTAGGAGGCTGGGATTGAGCTGTATTTTATGGACACAGAGGGACTGTTTACACAGCATTTCCCACCCCCCTTGTAAGATAGGTGGTGCCTCTGGTCAGGCCCCTCAAGGGCTTTGGTGGCCCATGACACTTCCTGGAGATTCCTCTGCCTCCATGTCTGCCCTTTGTGGCAGTGTCTGTCATCCAGGGCTCAGTGAATGTGAGCTGCCTGCTCCGGTTTTGACCCTGCTGTCCCAAGCCCTGGTCATCAGCACTGGCCTGGTGCTTGATGGTCCTCTAAAGTACTAGAGCTCAAACATGGCGCCTATGCAGAGCGGTCCAAGGCAGGAGGCACTCCTTAAGGAACCCTTTCCTGACTCTCTGGAGCCCACATGAGGTCTCCATTTCTTGTGGGGCCTTCTGATCCCACCTGCCAGTGGCTATCCTACCTTCCTGGAGCGTGAGAGGGCAATAGGTGGACAGCATGGGCAAAAGACAGCAGCATCACTGGTCACGGATGACAACTAAGTGCTTACCCTATGCCAGGCCTGAAAGAACTTACATAGGCCCCATGCTCACCTCGTATCTCCAGGGAAATTGAGTGCTAAAAAATTAGCTTTGTGTCCCAGAAAGTAGTGAAGCCAGAGTTGGAAGTATGAAGTGGACACTGCCCCTTGCTGTTGGGACCAGGAACTCCATCAAGGTGTCTCACCATCCTCTGGCTTTTGCCTGCTCTCAGTCGCAGTCCTTAATTTTCACATCTGTACAGTGGGCCTATGGGAGGAATGGAGGCCTCTGCAGTCTTTTGCAGCTGCTCTTGCCATTCTGGTGCTCCTATCTGAGATGCTTCAACTCAAGGGCAGCCCCTGGGGAAGCCTCACCCAGCCCTACCCTGGCCTGAGCCCTGGACCCAGTCCCTCTGGCCCAGCCCCCCCGGAGGTCACAGGAACCCAGTATGGCACCGATTTAAGTGGGTCAGTTGGGGAGAAAGGAGGAGGAATGTGATGCCATTAATTGTGCCCCTTATCTCCTGTTTCTATGCCAACCAGACGGTCCCGGGGCTTGACGGCTCGTGAATAATACTCTAGGCCAGCCTATCTGCCATCGACAGGCCTCACGGAGGCAGCTGTTGCCTCCCGATTGGTATCACAAAACCCATGGACCCAGCCCACATAGAGCTGCCTGGCCATACTCAGGCCCTGGCTGGTTCTTGCCCACCTGCCCACCATCCCCCTGAGGCTGCCTGGAGGTGCCTATGGTCCCTGTTCCCATTTCACAGATGGGGACACTGAGACCACAGGCACACACACATTGCTTTACAGACCTCTTCTGGCTGAAGGTGTGGCAAAGTGAGGGACAGCAGCATCACTGGTCTTCAGGAATCATGTCATACATACCCCACTCTCTCCCATCTGTCAGGCCATGTGACCTTGGCAGGCCCCATCCCTATGAGGCTCACCATGTGTCGTTAGTGGGAGAGCCAGCCCATAAGTAAGAGCTCAACTGTCTGCAGGTTACA